ACACACACACACACACACACACACACACACACACACACACACACACACACACACACACACACACACACACACACACACACACACACACACACACACACACAGTCCTGCTGGGAGTCTTGCTCAACATAATGAGTACCAGGCTTTCTAGGAAAAAGAGAGTTTGTGAAATTGAGACTTCAACAAAGCGCTGCTTGACTTTTCACAGCAGCTGATCAGAGTTTGAGAAAAGAACACATTCTCAATGCTAAAGCGGCTGATGAGTAGCCAGACTTAACTCATTTAATTTTCTTGAAGCGGGCAGACGTTCAGCCTTGAATCATTCGGAGTGTTATGATGACCAGGGGGGCAAGGAGATCATAAAGAGCGAGCCCAGAGGAAGAAATATGTTGTCGTTAACACGTTGACCTAGCAAAATCTGCCTAATACTTCCAGCTGGACGGAGAACATATACAAGTGAAAAGCAAACTTTAAGAGGCGATAGCTGCCAAGCGAGAGTAGCAAACCTATCCAAGAAACACAGAAAACAGCCTGCTAGTCTCCTAGTTCCCCTCAAATCCACACTTTTCCTCCCATTACCTCAGTTGACAATGTATACAGTTGAGCAAATTGAAGACCTTAATGAGGATGTTTAAATGTTTCCTAATTATCCAACTAACTATACCTGAATCCAAGAGGAGAACAAGCTTGTCTTTCTTTTTCAGCTTCATTCTTATAGTTTGAGTTTCTACAAGAACATGTTTACCCTGCTTACATTTATAATATCATTTCTATAATGTCAGTCTGAGTATACCAGAGAACACCAAAACTGCCTTGGTTGTCCTATTTCAAAGTTTGAGGTTTAGATACCCAAAAACAAATGCTTAAAATTGTATTTACTATAATATCTTTCTACAAGGAAACTTAAGAGAGCATAATTCTCATGCCAAGTCATTGTCATCTTTTACAGAGGAGCAACATAATCAATCCTGACTTCCAACATTTTAAATTGGCATGGTTTGTTCACGGCTCTCTAAACTCTCAGCCATCACCAATAACCCTCCGCACTCCATGAGAACAGCGGATCCTGACCTCTCTTGGCTTGCCATCGTGTCCCAGCTCCTCTCTGTAGTATTCCACGTTGTCCATCATGGACTCTTCTTCCTCGTGGAATAACAGGTAGGTCAGAGAGCACTGCAGCGCCTCCTCCAGCCTGTCCACTGCACAGAGAGACAGAAAGCAGTTAAAGTGGTGTAACATATGAACATGAATAAAGTTAACCTTTTATACCCATTAGCAATATGGACTGGTTGCTGCTGACCTCTGTGTGTGCGTGTGCGTGTGTGTGTGTGTGCCTATGTGTATACATCAAGACTGAAATTCCAAACTGTTACCACAATGGAGTAAAATATTGGCTCTGGTTGACATAGTGGAAAAGCACACACAAACATTCTCTCTCTCACACACACAGAGACACACACCCACACTCACATCAAAACACACACACGCCCCATTTTGAGGAGATTTGCCAGGAATTGTCACAGTGATGAAGTGAGACAAACGTACAGCAGGACAGTCCTGTAGCCTACAACACATATGCAATCACACTTTAATTCATATTCATTAGACTACAGATCCACAATCACATCTGTAACCCCACACACACACCTTGTGCCTAACGACAGCCGATAAGTGCACATAGAAACACACTTTTTACTAGCTTGTAAAGATGAGGGTTGACCAAAGACTTCCTGTCTTGGCCGAGGCTGAGGCAGCAACTCTGCTGCTGTCAGCTCAGCTGAGTGTTCCCTGGTCAATAAGAGTCTGGAGATATGAGCTCAGTCAAACAGAAAAACGTCATTGAGAATTTATTTAGGAATCTGAGACAGCCAAAGCACAATGCTGCTGAGTGATGCCAAACGTCCACTGCAGCGTGATGTGAAGACACTGAGGAGCCTAAATCACAGCAGGACACTGTCCAGCCAATCAATCACTCAGATTACTGACTTGTGGCAAGGAGTTACTGACATTGATTTATTATTTGGAAAAAGTAAAAAGGCCTGCTGAATACATGCAACATGCTGCTAAAAAATATAGTCTTATTATGCTGGATATAAATGAATTTTGCCCAGTGTTGTAAAAAAAGTAGCTTGGTATCCGATATATTACATAGAGACTTACAAACATAGACAGCCAGAAACACGCGCACACACACACACACACACACACACACACACACACACAAGTGTGTGTGTGTGTGTGTGTGTGTGTGTGTGTGTGTGTGCGCGTGTTTCTGGCTGTCTATGTTTGTAAGTCTCTATGTAATATATCGGATACCAAGCTACTTNTCCGGAACCTAGGCATCATATTTGACCAAACCCTCTCCTACAACAGATACATCAAACAGATCACAAAGACAGCCTTCTTCCACCTCAAAAACATCGCCCGTCTACATCCATCCCTCTCTCCCACTGCAGCCGAAACCCTCATCCACGCCTTCATCACCTCCCGTCTGGACTATTGCAACAGCCTCCCTATGGTTCACCTGCAAAAATCCTCAACAAACTTCAATATATCCAGAACTCCGCCGCCCGTCTACTCACCCACACCCGAATCCGTGAACACATTACACCCGTCCTCATCAAGCTCCACTGGCTCCCCATCCCCCAGAGAATTCAGTACAAGATCCTCCTGATGACGTACAAAGCCCTCCATAACCTGGCCCCATCCTACCTGACTGACCTCCTCCACAGACACTCTCCCACTCGCTCCCTCCGCTCTGCCACTGCCAACCTCCTGTCCCTCCCCACCCGGACCAACCTCAAGTCTTGGGGCGACAGAGCCTTCTCCGTTGCTGCACCCACCCTCTGGAACTCACTACCCCAATCCATCAGAGATTCTTCCTCCCTCACAGCATTCAAAACATCACTCAAAACCCACCTGTTCAACACTGCATTCAACCACTGACCACCCCCCGTATTTTTTCTGTTTTGTTTATCTCTTTTTGTATTTCTTTGTCTTTTTTTTTTTTTTTTTTGTGTTTTCTTAATTCTCTGTCAAAGCGTCTTTGAGTTTCATGAAAAGCGCTATAAAAGTCCCATGTATTATTATTATTATTATTATCATGTTGAGGCACTTAAGTAGAGTCTCCCATTTTATGCAAACAATGCTTCTATACTTTAACATGAAGTCCATTTTGAATACACTGAATTACTATAAACTGCCTAAAACATCAATATATAATTTGTTTGTTGCTTTTCTGGGGGCTTCCAAACAATATTAACATATTGTCACATTGGCATGCTGTTGTGGCAAACATGTTACCACATCAAGCAAACACAGGGCAAAAACATTAGCGTTCATTGAAGCCATGTTTATGTCCACCTAATGAACAAAAGCCAAATAAATTATAGATATTCTCCATTTAGCTATGTTTTGTCTCCACCAATTATTGATGGAAATGTCTTGTTCTTTAGCTCCTAAATGCTTCGCTACCAGCTAGTTGTTAAATGTTTCAGTTGATAAATGTGTCCAAACCAGAACCGTAAAGAGTGGAAAGTAGGGCTGCTCGATTATGGCAAAATCCATAATCTCGATTATTTGGGTCAATAATTGTAATTGCGATTATTAAATGAGATTATTCATTGACTTTGAAAACATCCTTTTTTTGGAGAAAATAAATGTGAATATTATGTTTTTTTTGGGTTTTTTTTATCCTGAACTTTAAGTATAATTCGACTGAAAAATCAAAACAAACACAAATAAAAAATAAAAAAAGTAATAATAATAATAAAAAAATTATCGTTTTATTTCGATGATGTTGTTTTCGTAATCGTTGCAAGCCATAATTGTAATCGCGATTAATATATGATTAATTGAGCAGCCCTAGTGGAAAGGCGATTATCTGCAGGTTTGTGAGGGACTCCCTTCACACCAAACATACGGTATCCATGTAAATGCATATTATGCTACAGTGAGAACACATTGCTGTCGGCATACTCTGCAGGGATGGAACACTTTTGACGGGTGTAACTACAAAAATCACTACTTTTCCAAGGAAACACAACACTTCTAAAATGTGACAAGTGAACATATCTCATGCATGTTTTCTGTCCATGACATTCAACCTTAAACTGAAGTCAAGAAATGTGTTTTTTTTGTATTTCAACCTCAGAAGACTACAGCTCAGTTTCCCTAAGGGGCTCTGTTGCACTGCCTGAGATTTACACAAATTAACAAGACACAAAGCAGCACCTTAAAACGACAGTATCAACCTCAAATGTGCTGATGCAAATACTAAAAACACGAGTCCCTTTTTCAGGATGTTACCATTTGGAGCTGTGATGTTGCAGTGAACACAGAACATGGCTCAACTTGGCCAGACCAGCTTGTAGAAGCTCCAGACACCAGCCCGCAAGCTGTTCTTTTTCAATAAGGATAATGTTAGTCATATAACACAACATCTGCGGAGCCACCACAGTGACAGGTCTATCTAAATGAGTTCTTCATTTAGTCGTGTTTGAAGGCTGCAGAATACTAGGCATCAGCTAATGATGGTGGAAGCAGCCAAAGGCAAGACTCGTCAGTCCAGAGGAAAGACTGGGCGAGGAAAGGGAAGAAAAGGGGACATCCACTCTAGGCAATCATGATATCATCAGCACATTGTCTGACCTCCTGCATACGCATTTTCTATTGTCTTCTCCTTTCTATCCTTGTATACCTTGTCTCCACAGTTGTCTATTTCTGTTTGTTTTTTGGTTTCCCCATTTATTTTTTCAATGTTTCAAGTTGAAATACAGGGTCAGCATGAACAATGAACCATTGATCTCTGATGTAGCCTTCCCGTCAGTTCTGGCAGCAGTTGATGTTTTGCTTCTACAGAAGTACTACACTTAAGCCAACACTGAAATAAGGTACGTGAGACAGAGAGCACAGGTAACTTAAGGTGAGCAGCGATAATGGAAGGGAAGGAACAGGACAAAGAGGGGTACGGGGGGGGAACAAGGGCATGTCAAATGATAGATCAAGCAAAAAGGATCGATGATCAACAAGAACGAGAGATGACCAGGAAGCAGGAATAGTCCATGAAAGAAGTTATATCATTATAAAGGAGTAGAAGGATGAGAAAATGGAAGGCCAATGGGAAAACAGGAGAGAATTACAGAATAAAGTAAAGGGTATTAGAAGAAGATAAGGATTGTGAATATAGGGACATTGGCGAATTGGAGAAAGGAGTTTGAGAAAAGAGAAAAGTTTTGAGTTTAAGACCACTGTACCTTACATTAATACACAACACTCAGAGCATTATGACATATATTGTAATGTTTTGTTATGGTTGGCAATATTCTGTGGTAGTGTCTAACAGAATGTTTCCTTCTGATTACTTTAATTCCCTCAAATGTCAGTTTGTGGATGTTTAAATGACACACTCTAATTTATTTCGAATCGCAAACTGCATCCTCCTACACCAACTCCCAATAAGTTTGCTGGACTTGACTAAGACAAAAGCCATTTTGTCATACACAAAACCGCTTTCCTTTGTCTGGGACACACATTGTGTTTTGTCTGTAGGGTTGTCTTATATAATGGAAGTTATGTAACATAATTAAAAGTTGTTGTTATACCATCATTGGATTACATTTGTGTGCTCTCTCCATATGCCAAGCAGCCGCAGTTATATTTAATACCAGACAACAGAGGGGTTTATTTGGCTTACATCACCAAACGCACCCTGTTCCATACAATTGCAAGTGACGGCTTTAATGCAGAATTAACTAGTTTTCTGAATGCTTAAAGAAACACCAATTCAACTCTACTAGTAAATATAAATACATTTTGAATTATAGAGGTATAATAATAAGAGTCTAATTGTGGCGTACCTTTTCTTTTTGTGCAGCAGTGAGGTGCTGCTTGTGTATTCAGTGACCATATCTGCAGCACAGAATCCACTCTTTGTTGTAATACAACTGGATTTATGTGGAACAAATTCGACTCGCTTGCGGTTTTGAATTATTTTATTCCAGACAATGGCCCTGGCTTCAATTTTTGCTGCAGTAAGCTAGTTGGCTACACAGTCAGTAAACACTGGCTAATTATTGAAGGTCAAAGCATAAACAGTCTTGGATCCATAGTGGACAATGTGTTTGAATGTTTCAATGCAAGGCTATTTGGACCTTTCTATTTGTTCTGAAATGACTTTCTTTACAGGGTATTATCAGAATGTGTGTGCTGTCAGCTGTCTTGTAATAATGTAAGCTCCAGTACGCTGCTCAGTATTGACTCAGGCACAAACGCATTGGCCCACAGGTATAAGTATTAAGCTGACAAACAATACAAGTATTACTTCAATTTGGCCAGTGTGATTTGGTTTCAATGTTCTGTGTCTGCACATACTGTACTTATACGGTATGTTCTTCATACACACATGTGTGTGTGATTGTGCGTGGGTTAATGTGTGTCCCACCTAGAGCTGCGTTCCTTTCATTTTCACTGCTATAAATCAAAGTGTAAACCCACATTTACCACGGTCAGCGCAAGCATCACCTGGTTATGGTTTGTCTTAATCATATGCCCTGTTCAACATGAGCACAGTTTCCCCCTATAGGGTTTCAGAGGATCACCTGTGTTCATTCTGTCCTTGTAATATAATTGAATATTTCATTATTTTTCCTTTCTTTTCATCTGTTCCGATTCCTCTGAATTGTTCTTCCCTCTCCAAGGCCTTTCAGATTGTCTTTGTCAAAACCAATAGTTGCAACGCATACCACTCACTAACAAGCTCTGCAGTTTAAGTAAGTAAGTAAAACTGTATTTATATAGCACCCTTCTCAACACGGATGGACAAAGTGCTTAACAATATAGTACACAATTCACGGTACAACTATAAAATGTAGAATAAAAGGCATACAACAACAGCAGGTAATACATAGGATAAAACATACGATAAAACACCAATAAAAGACAGCCACTAACTCACCTCCCCCGACGACCCAAAGGCCTGTCGGAAGAGGTGGGTCTTTAACTGCCCCTTAAAAATCTCTATTGAGGCAGAGGTTTTTATTATCTGGGGGAGTTTGTTCCAAAGCCTTGGGGCCACCACCTCAAAGGCACGGTCACCCTGAGTCTTTAGCCTGCTTCGGGGCACCCTTAGGAGGATCAGAGGACCTCAGGGCCCGGGTTGTGCTGTGAGGGTGGATCAAGTCGTTTATATAGGCTGGGACTTGGCCATGGACAGCTCTATATGTGTAAACTAGGACCTTAAAATGGGTTCTGAGATGGACAGGGAGCCAGTGCAGGGCAGAAAGAATCGGAATGATGTGGCTTGTTTTTTTGGACCGAGTGAGTAATCTGGCTGCAGCATTTTGGACCTGTTGTAACCGGTTTATTGATGTTTTGTTGAGGGAGGAGAACAGAGCATTACAATAATCAAGCCGGGAGGAAATAAAGGCATGGATAACCATCTCCATTTCTGTTTAAAATGCTGTGAAGATCACTTCTGCTCAGCCAGACATTGGCATTCAATCATATCTTGTTTCCATGAAATGCCCCTTCGAAACCATCTATTATGGGTTGGAGAGTAGCCTTTCAAAGGGTAGAAGTTGGATCGGATCAATCACAAGAGCATAACTTTTGTCTTTTACTGCCTGGCACATGTTTGTATTGCAGATCATTTTACTATGGACTCTCAGAAAGAGGGTTGTGCTGTTTTCTAATTGGGATTGCCCTGCTAAACTGACTACCTTTAAGTTTGACACATTGTCAACTGTATTGGCTTGTACACGCACAGAATATTATTTCCTCCGGGGGCCAGTGGTTTCCCAGTGTCAACAGCATAAATCAAAAAGAACTTAGAGGATAACATGGTTTGTGACCAAGGAACCACAGGTTAAAATACTGATTGAATGTAAAGTAAAGGTACATCATGTTTCTGCAATGGATTGTGAGGGGAATCAACCCAAGAATGATTTTTTCACTTCCATTTCAGTTCAACAACATGGGCCTGCACAAAGCCTTAATCTTTAGATGTATGGTTTGGATCTCAATCTGCTGGTCTGTGAGGGTAGGCAGCACGTACTGCAGTGAGTTGAACCATAAATCAAACCTTGGTAGACTTTGTACACTGAATCGACACATCTCTCACACACCTCCCTAGGGATGCATGTGAGGCTAAGGCATCAATCAACAGTTAGCCGGTTAAATGCAAATGGTCGGGAAGGCAAATGGATCCTGATCAGACGAGAAGCAAATGAAAACCTGTGGTGCTTTCTTTCAGAGTGCTTCTTAACAGGCCTAATAGCAGTTGTTACAAAGTGAAGTCAACTGATGTTAAGTGCGAGTAAAAAAACTCAGCTTGTTAACAGGGACATGACATGGCAACATATGAAAAACCTGCAAATTTAGATTTACCCAGAAAAATTTAATCAGAGCCTCAAAATTCATGACTTGAGAACTGACTTGACACTCAATTGCCTACAACATTATTTGCTTTTTCCTTTCGCGCATCATGTTTTAAACGAACATATTGAACAACTTAAGGTGAATCTGACGTGGTTAAATACATTTTATTGAAAAACAAATTATCGTTCACTCAATAATCATAATGGCTTTTAGCACGTCAGAGTATAAACTAAGCCAATATTCTCTGTTAGGTTTCTAAGAAAGACATGAGTTTTTGTTTTTGTTGTATATACGAATGTTTGTGAAGCTTTGCCTTTTATTTGTTGTGTAAGACCATGCATTGTTATTTGTATTTATCTTTTTTAAATGCTCCTTAACTCTCCCAGCCACAATTGTTAATGCTGGACTCAGCTGTGTAAAAAGTCAAATGACATTTCATATTGCAATTTGTTTAGAGACTTTTGAACCTGTAACATACTTCATAATAGTTATATTATATGTTATATGTGTGTGTGCAAATGTGTACATAAATACATACCAATACATACATTGGTTGGTCAGTGTGTAAATGTAATAATGTAAAATATTCAGATCTGTTAAAGTAAGACCCCATGATTACGAAAGAGCAATCTGGACTTTTTTTACAGTATGGTGCTGTGGGGCATTGTGTAACTTTAAGATACCATGCGCAATAGAGGAAAATATTGATAAAATGTAATTCTGTTTATAAATAACTATTGCACAACTGTTATTTTTGGGCAACAATTTCATATTACAATGGGATTTGCGTGAGTTTCTCTGTCTCATAAAAACCCTGGAGATGAAACATCGGCGGTATGATTCATATGATTGTGTTCTATGTTTGTCATATTGTGCATTCCTATGTTACCGTACATGGACCCATATGGCACACACACACACACACACACACACACACACACACACACACACACACACACACACACACACACACACACACACACACACACACACACACACATAAAGGTGCTGAGATGGATTTAAGTGATTCTTGTGGATTGTGTTTCCAGATGGGAACATTCAGGATGGGGACACCCTGAGTCCTACAGATATTGAGGCAAACATGTCCACCGAGGTGGCCCTCACTGTGCTGGATGTACTGGAGCTCTTTGTCCATCATCACAAGGTCTGTGCATGAAACTACATTTCACACCAAACACTTAATAAATCAAAAATGTTGAATGTTTATGTTCAATCTGAGCTCTGGGCTTAGTTTTGGAATTTGACAATTACATTCAATGCTACACATCTGTTTAAGTGTGTCAAACATATTCCTTTGGCTCTACTCTATTCTTTCATATTAATGTCCTTGTCAAAAATCCAATAGGAAAGTTATATATTGGCTTTGTTACTACAACATTAAAAAGGACTTTTTAAATTACATATTTTCTTGATGAAAAAAAAAATAGTCTATACAAATCGAAAAACGTATTTTGTCCAAATGTGATGTTCATACTGTAGATTTGTAGACTCCAGAATAAATTACAATACTCTAAAGCCAGGAAATGCGACTTTACTGCCACCTGGTGGCTAGACAATATACATTTTTTCGTGAAACCAATCAGTTAGATAAAATAAACTTGCCTGTTGAAACTTTGATGGTAACATGTATTGTTTTTCTTCTCTAATCAACCCATACAGAAGCAGCTGTTGCTGGATGATGGACAAAATGTACTGATGAAGAAGGTGCTGGACACCTACTTGCTCTTCTTTCAGATCAACCAATCAACTGCCACTCTACGGCATATCTTCGCTGGACTCAGGCTCTTTGTACAAAAGGTCCTGCAAGCTTCATTTTATCATACATAAACATCTAAGTGCAAATTCAAATCGTTTTTCTAATCTTCATCCGTCATCTCTTTCTGTACATGCAGTTCCCCAGTGCATTCTTCCAGGGTAAGGCAGACCTGTGTGGCTGTCTGTGCTACGAGATCCTCAAGTGCTGTAACCATCGCTCCAGCTCCACCCAGACGGAGGCCGCTGCCCTGCTGTATTTTTTCATGAGAAAAAACTTTGAGTTCACCAAGGGCAAGTCTATAGTCCGCTCACATCTGCAGGTCAGTGAGACCAATTATCCTATCTGTACTGTGTGTCTTTTTAATCATGGATTTGGCGTAACAGTGTCCTCACCACATACTCGTTCATCCACATCAGGTCATCAAGGCAGTGAGCCAGTTGATAGCAGATGCTGGCATTGGAGGATCCAGATTTCAGCAGTCTCTGGCTATCATCAATAACTTTGCCAACGGAGATGCACCACTCAAGGTATAGCAGATTAAAGCGAAATGTGGCAGATTTGTTATAATTGTTTGTGGTGCTATTTTATTCTCCTTTCTTGGATATAAAAAATGAATGGAGATCATTCTTATTTCTGCAGAACACTCCATTCCCTGCTGAGGTGAAGGACCTGACCAAACGGATCAGGACGGTTCTGATGGCCACAGCCCAAATGAAGGAGCATGAGAAGGATCCGGAGATGCTGGTGGATCTCCAGTACAGTCTGGCTAACTCCTACGCCAGCACCCCCGAGCTTCGATGCACCTGGCTGGAGAGCATGGCTAAAGTTCACGTCCGCAACGGCGATCTCTCAGAGGTTATAAACCTTTCATGGAACTCTTGCTTAAGAAACTTCACAAATAGCTATTTTGGATTGAAGTATGAATTCAATATGATATTAATGAGTCTGACGTTCCTTTAGGCTGCCATGTGCTACATCCACATCTCAGCCCTTATCGCTGAATCCCTGAAGAGAAGAGGTTAGTGCACACATGTTGCTGCTTTTACTTTTTGCAGCATGGTTTGAAAGTGTTTATGTGTATTTTTCTTTCTAATTCTTGCAGTTGTGCATCTATACAGACTGTTTTTTTCTGATTAAAAGTTACCATAACTTCTAAATCAGAAAGTCTGATCACAGCCGTCTTCCGTCATTCAGCAAACCTCTCTTTCTCTCTGCTAACACGATCATCACAACGATCGACAAATCATTTTAACTTTCAGTCATCAGTCCTTCATTTCTTCATGGGGTTAAATATGTGTGTCTGAAAGTGAGCACTCTGGTGACTTGAGTGTGTCTTTCTGTGAGGAACTTATGGGGAATTAAATGAATTCCAAACTAGTCAATCTAGATCTATCTTTGCATCTCAATACTCTTCCCAATCACAACTGTTTTCTACATGTTTTGCTGTGTGGCTGTTCCTCTATCTGTAAATCTGTTTGCTTTTGATAAGTGTGCTTCCTCATTGAGACTACAGCATGTTTTTATCTTCTGCCGCATGTGTTTGACATCTTTTTGCATGCTTTTTATCCACCAAGCCTGTGTGCCAATTGTTATTGAAGCATGCCGGCAGCTTCGCCGATTCCTGCTCCTTGTCCGTAAACATTAAAGGCAAAAGCAAGTGGAGTTTGTAAACCTCGTCCTCCTCCTCCTCCCCTCCTACCAAACAGGCTACTGGAGAGCTGACAAGGCCAGGATGTCCAGTGTGTCCCCTGAAGAAAGCCCTGTCTATAACTGTAGCTCCTTACTAACTTCCTCCCGAGATCAAGACAGTGAGTGTGTGCGCCTGGGGCCAGCTGGGTGGTGGGAGTTCAGAACAAAAGGATGGAGAGACAAAAGAGTGTGGGAGGGAGTGGGTGTGCAACGAAATGTTTAAACTCCTTCCAATTTTGTGGAAAGTGTTCATACTCACAGGTGGACATGGTTTGGATCGAAGGGACATCGAGTCCGGTTCCAATTAAAATCGTTACCATTTCAGGTTTTCAACACCGTGCAGTTCAGTTTGGACCGCTGTTCTTGCCTAAATGATATGATACTGTGCTGGGTTATCACTAATCACTGTCACTGTTTGACCTGCACTGTTCACTCACAGGAGATGATGTTCAGTGCGACTGGAATTTGATAAGAAGCATGCTCACTTTTGATGTTTTTAATTTAGTCTACACAAATGGTATGATTTATGTCAAATGCTTGATTGTAAAACACATCTTGTATTTTATAGAAAGATGTTTGTGTTTCAGTATGATAACAGGCTTAACATAACTGTAGGGCAAGTTGGTATCCTTTTACCTGCCTTCATGTCACTTTCATTGTTTGTAACCCCAGCGTCGTTCTCCATGGGCTGGGCAGCGTTCATGTGCATCAGCCCCAATGTCAAGGAGGAGGGGGCCATGAAGGAAGACACTGGGACACAAGACACACCATATACAGAGGTCAGTGTTAGCCTTCCATCCTAAAAGTGTTGTGATAAGGGCTCCTGATTTCTCAAAATCCAAGATGCCCTAAATGTCTTGTTTTGTCAGTCGAAAAACCCACGGACACTACGGTTAATGATCATAACCATTACTGCAGTTTTGAGAAAAATGCCCTGTTACGACTGAGTTGCAGTGTTTCTCTCTAACATGGATCCTGGTGCGCTGTGTAGGACACTCTGGTGGAGCAGCTGGAGCTGTGTGTGGACTACCTGTGGAAATCAGAGAGATACGAGCTCATCGCTGACATCAACAAACCTGTGATTGCTGTCTTTGAAAAGAGAAGGGATTTTAAGGTAACTGTTAACACTTATACCCTGTGTGTGTTTGTGTGTGAGTATATATCGAGCCTAACCTCACATGTGTGTTGGTGTTTGACCGCAGAGGCTGTCAGAGCTGTACTACGACATCCATCGCTCCTACCTGAAGGTGACTGAGGTGGTGAATTCAGAAAAGCGACTCTTCGGTCGCTACTACCGTGTAGCTTTCTACGGACAGGTGAGCGACAACTCATCGTGGCACACACTTACACAGACACGTCTGCACACACACATCGCTTAAACCAAAGCAAAACAACAGTTACCAAAAAGCTGCAGCCGACGATTTGACAGGGACTCAACTAAAAGACCTATTTTTTTATAAACAATGTTACTATTATAAACAAGAACAGAGGACGAAAGAAGTCTGGTAAAGTTATTAACACATCTGGAACAAAACAAATATATATGTAGAGCGAGATGTCACTAGAGATAAGTGGGAAAATGTTCTTTCAATTTGGATGAACTAATTCCTTAGATTTTGTATAAGCATATATGATATTATTATCCTTGAATCCCTGGCGTTATTCGAGAAAGAAGCACAGTGCAGTTCAGGCTTGTTTTTTAAGAACCTGCATCCTTGACACAGTTTCCTTGTTAATGAGGGGAATATATTTCCAGGCAGGGATTTGAGAGCCATGAAGTGAAGAAAGAATTAAAAAAGCCGATAATGAGAATATGAAATCCTCTCACCATTGGAAAAAAGAGGAGAGAGATCAGATCTCATCAGTGAGGCGTGGAGATGGAGCATAACGAGAGAGAGTGTCCTTAATTTCTCTGTCTGCTCTTTTCTTCCTTTTTTTATTATATTCTATATCAAGATTGCGGTAAGTTTTGTACGTCTTTGATTTTCCATTTTCCTCGATGCTAACCACTTTTACCTCTCTTCTCCTTCTACCACTATTAACATCCGCTGCTCTTACCCATTGAAGGGTTTGTGTCAAGCTTGCTGTGCTATTCTACTTCCCATAATCTCCAATGATGACGTTTTTCCCTCCTAAACATAAATACTAGCTTTTTTTCAAACAGCCACAGTGGACAGGAAGATAGCTATTTATTAAACCTCATTCACCTTTGACATTTGCCTCAAATGCTGCTTTGAATATGACCTCTGAACTCTCCCATCCAGAACTAAACACCTTGTCAGGGCCAGGTTTTGCTAACAAGTGTTGCCTGTTTGTACAACAGTGACTCAAGAAACCTCTAGGGGGCAACATTAAGTCACACTGGCATGTGTACAGTTTGATGTGACAGCACAAACCACATTCAAAGATTACATTTGCACACACACACTTACACATATATTTAACAGGCATTCTAAGCTATGTTTGCTGTGTATGTGTTCCTGTAGGGTTTCTTTGAGGAAGAGGAGAGCAAAGAGTTTATCTACAAAGAGCCGAAGCTGACAGGGCTGTCGGAAATCTCGCAGAGACTCCTCAAACTCTACTCGGACAAGTTTGGAGCTGACAATGTCAAGATGATCCAGGACTCCAATAAGGTATGAAGGTTGTTTGTTTAGACATTAACAAAGATGCCAGAAAAATGCGTAATATAATTGCAATAACTTGTGATTGTGTATAATGTTTGTTTACTGTGAGTCTTTTTGCAAACTAATTACACTCATATAAGTATATTTACTATTGCTTGCTTCACATTCTTTAAAAACAGGTAAATCCTAAAGACATCGACCCCAAGTTTGCCTACATTCAGGTGACGTACGTGGTGCCCTTCTTTGATGAGAAAGAAGAACAGGACAAAAGGACAGACTTTGAGAGACATCACAACATCAACCGCTTTGTGTTTGAGACGCCGTTCACTCTGTCAGGGAAGAAACATGGAGACGTAGAGGAGCAGTGCAAGAGACGCACCATACTGACCAGTAAGTATTTGTTTACCATAAACAAAAACACCATGTAACACACAATGTAGAGTTGCTTTAATCCATGGGTTACTATGTCTCTCTTTAGCGAGTTCCAGTTTCCCCTACCTGAAGAAGCGTATCCAGGTGGTGGAGCAGCAGAGCACAGAAATGAACCCGATTGAGGTGGCCATCGATGAGATGTCACGAAAAGTATCTGAGCTCAACCAGCTGTGCAACATGGAGGAGGTGGACATGATCCGGCTGCAGCTGAAACTGCAGGGCAGCGTCAGCGTCAAGGTGGGGGTTCTTCCACAACACAGATTATCAGGGGGTTTGGGTACCTTGTCATTTCTCACCTGATGTTTCCCTTTCCAGGTGAATGCAGGGCCCATGGCCTACGCCAGGGCGTTTTTAGAGGAAAAGAATGCCAAGAAATACCCAGACAACCAGGTCAAACTGCTCAAGGAGATCTTCAGGTACGATTAAAAGTTGGGAAATTTGGTCCTAATATAACAAAGTAGGTATATATTGTGCATTGTAAAACTGGCCAATACAACACCATATTTTTTAAACATAGAACAGCTTTGTTGCTTGGTATACGACATCATGCCAAAAAAAACAAGGATATGGACATAATAAGGACAAAATTATGTTGGATCGAAAATATGAGAAATAAAAAGAAAAGAAAATAGTGCACAAATATAAAAAATACATTGATCTTGTTCTTATAGGGCAGTGATTGGATTTGAGGTGTTAAACCTTAGGGTGTAAAAATCAATATTATACCACTCTTATATATCCCAAACCCATGATGCTCAATTAAACATGTTTTTATAATTTGTATCTAAAACCGTTCCAATAGCCAATGAAAACAAATGAACCAGATTTTTACGATACAGATTCTCACCCAGAGTATTAAAGATCAATGTGAAGGGTATTATTTGCAACACTGATAATGAAAGAACACTTTCTCAAATACATGTGAAAACAATGTACAGGGAAGTTATAGAATTCCTTCATAAAGTGTAGTTCTTATTTGATTTTTGTTGTTTTGCTCATGAGGATTTATATATCTTCCACAAAATGTTGACTCTTACATTGTAAAAAACAACCATCACACAAAGCTTCTTTCAAAATGTAATCTCAAGAAAAAAATGTATGTGATGTAGGTTACAACCTACATCATTAAAGGTCAGTTCAATGACGTGATTAATAATCAGAACAACTCGTTTGCCCCCTGCAGGCAGTTTGCAGAAGCCTGCGGTCAGGCACTGAATGTGAATGAGCGCCTGATCAAGGAGGACCAGCTGGAGTACCAGGAGGAGATGAGAGCTCACTACCGGGACATGCTGACTGAGCTGTCTGGCATCATGAATGAACAGGTCTCACTCTGCAACCAATGAGTGTCCTGACATATACAACCACCACATTGTTGTTGTTTTTTTACTTATCCATCTGCAGGACATAATGAGCATCCTCTCTTCCTGTGCATTCCATGTGTATCAGCTTCCGTTTTTACTTCATAGTTGCCTGTACTTCCTTTCCAACTTTTTCTCTCATTTCAGCTACACAAAAGTGTTCATGCTGCCAGTACCTCCTCTCTCTCTAACAGCTCTCTGTCCACTCTTTCTAAGACTGGTATGCCATTTCATCAACCTCCTTCATAAAATACATCGTCACCTTGCTACTTGCTTATCCCACTTTATCTTTCTTCCTTATCTCAGCCGAACTGCAAGCCTGATGCCCTACTTTCACATTTTCCTGTTCCAATGCAAGCTTTTTACTCTTCTTCTGCAGATTCCTCACACAAGACAACCAGGAACGGAACGGCACAGCGCCTACTGAATGGCCAATAGACTCTCAAAAAATCCATTGTGCCCGGGAGGACTTATTATTCCCATAAATGACTTTGGAGTGCCAGTTTGAGCTTCATAAGTGGCTTATTTTCTTTTTTCTGACTGTAGTTGTTTCCTGCTGTAACAAGCGGCAGGCTAGTGGAACTGTGACTGATGGTGAGTTCAGAGAAAATAAGGAAAGAAGTGTGTAGACTGTGGTCGTGATAGTAGTCCTGTGGTTGAACGTTGACTATCGTCGGTAGAGGCCAGGCTGCTGGACTGTTAGCTACTGTTTGTTTTGAAGACTCGATCCCCCGCCCTGCCAACTGATTCATCAGCTTACATACTGACAAACACACTCACAAACAAGTACACAAAGTGCATATGTTCACACACACAACATGCGCCTTCTCTCCACAACCCCGTCCCTTTAGAGAACAGTGACCTTACTGAGCTTGAGGTGCGTTCAGCTTTATGTAACATATACTTCTCCGGTGCATTTTGATGACAGTTTTTGGATTTTTTTCCGTGGATATCTTTACACTATCTTAAGAGATCTTGTAAGATTAGTGATGTGAACAAAAGAACATTTGATTACAGGTTTTCTAACTAACGAAGCATCTGAAGAGTTGAACGCACCTCCAGTTCCTGTATGAATGTAGAGCAGCTCCACATTGCTACTTTGTATCCTTGCTAATGTTCTGGATATATCACCTTCCCGATTTTCAAACGGAAACAAAAAAAAAGATGTTTTGTAACATTTTTATGATTCCAATTGCATTGTTACTGTTATTATTTCCTGTACTGTTTTGAATTGTAAATAAGAAATATTAATATTTAAAACGTTTGCATTTTTTCTTTTTATAAAATATACAATATATGAATATTTGTTTAGCTGAAAAAAAGAAACGAAACTAAAGTTTTATGTATAACATTTAAATAAAATTTTGTTAATGTCCAAAATGTATGATTGATGATTCCTAACCTCAGGGTTGCTACCGGTTGCTACTCATTTTAATTTTGTCGCTTTGGGTTAGGTGTTGTTTTTTGGCACTAGCCACATTTCTTACACTTTCTTAAACCGTTTTTTTATTAGTCTATACTAGAATGACCCTTGGTGTGTTCTGCACTGTCACAACTTTGTCTGCAATATAAGTGTTCACGGTCTGTTAATCTGACTGCATGTTACCATCTGTGGTTCCAGACTAAAGACACTTACATTACAATACTTACAGTACATGAGGTTGAGGTTTCACTGAAAGTGAAATGACTGACACAGAGCAGTTTTCCATTGGATCTGGTGACACTTTTTTCCAATAGTTGGGTATAATTACTGACCATGCAGCGCGAAGGCAGCAGAGTGGTTGTTTATTTATTGATGCTAAGCCTGAGGTTAGGGCACTGCATAAAAAGAGGTTAAGTGGCCCTGAACATAGCTGGTGGTAAGAGACTGCATGTGGCCCTCTGTGTCTCACTTTTCGGTTTTTATCTCTGCCTGACAAGACAGCTGACACATTCATATGTGTGTCTCTTCACTCTCCCTCTGTGGCAGATTGAGTTTCACTGACCTCCTACCTCTTCTTCTCAAACTCCAGCTGATCAGTATTTCGCTCCTCCTCTGTCTCGTCTCTCTACCTCCTCCCTCCCTCTCTGTAGCCTATTTTGTGAACCAGAAAGGGGGCTGATTGGGTTTCTCTCCTGTACAGACAGGTTTGTGTACGCCTGTCTCCCGCATGTGGCCTTCACTGTGGCGGGGTCAGACTCAGGTTGCTTTGAACCAGAACAATTCAGACCAGGTCACACACTACAACATGGTTCAAACCTGCTCCCTGGTAGCCAACAGCTCTTCTGACAATATTTCATAATTTGTTTTACTTGACTTAAAAGTATTTGTGTGTCACTGGTGTGCTCAGAGACTGTCTGGGCTCATGGGAACCCGACCATACTTCCCTGTGTGTGGAGACCCCACTGAGCGTCATTATCTGTAATTTTCTCTGTGTGTGCAGCCTGCCTGTATTTTATATCTGTTGCATGATTCCTTCTCTTATTTTTAATCGAAGCCACCTTCTGTCTTCATGTATTTTCTTTCCAAGACATCTTTGGGTTGACCTCTTGACCTTAACGTTTATCAAAGACATGTGTTAGGCTTAAATTAAAGGCCTACCTGTCCATAAATGTTTTTTTAACATTATGGGCTCCCGTAATGTTAAAATGTGAATTTTAAAAGACAGAAATGCAATCTACATTTGATCAAATTACAATTATTCAATGTGTCCTATAGCTTTTTGTTCTTGTTGGATGATCTTCTAAAAAAACAATCAGATCAGAAGGAATGCTGATACTTTCTCAGTTTCTTTCCAAGATGTATCTTTGCTGACAGGTGCAATCAATATTTTAGAGGAAGGATATTGTAATCCCAACAGAGACATGGGCATTACAAGAGGAAGAGTGAGGTGCCCAGACAAATCTGATCTACCAAATCTTAATTTGAGCTATAACAAAGAGTGTTGTATATTTTGTAGGGCCAGATGTTTTCATAAACGCGAATTATTTCACAGAACCTGCAGGTTTAGTAGCTAGGTCTCCCGCACTAAAGCTCCAGCGCAGTGCACATTTCATTTCCGACCCCTGCTTAGTTTTCCTGAAACAGGACGCCGGGGCTGATGAATAAAACATCCTCTGTGTGCTGCTGGCTGATCACCGGAGCCCTTTCAGCTGTATAAGTGGTGAAAGGCGACATAATCTCCCCATAACAAGATCTGGACTGAGATTGAGGAGCACACAGTACAGAAAGACAGAGGGAGGACCAAAACAACTTCTGGGAGCAAAAATGTTAAAACCCCAGCAGCACCGAGAGCTTCTCCTGCACGACTGCCCTCCGGTGTTTGGGAAGCCGTGGTACTGGCAGCGCAGCAGCAGCGCCATGGAGAGCACGCGCAGCCTGGCGCAGGTCATCATGGAGATGCGCGAGGACATCCAGAAGCTGGAGGCCGAGAACCGCGAGCTGCGGGGAGACTCCGGTCAGCGGGGATATGGGGCCAAGCAGGGGGAAGCCAGGCTGGGGTTTTCAGCAGCAGGGCAGCGGGTGGGGAAGGTGGAGAACCCGTATGTGAACCTGAGGCGCAATGCGTCTGCGCCAGTTCTGGAGGGACAATACAAAGGTAAGAAAAAGCCTTTTACAGGTGGTTTAAACTTGTCAGAACAGCAACACACCGTTTTTCAATTTACATTAACTGATTAATAAAGGAAGGGGGTGGGGGCTGTTATGAAGGGACACTCCAGTGATTCAGCATTCAACACTTTAAAAAAAAAAAATCTGAGGAGCAAGAGCAGATTTGTCCAGCAAAAACACTAAATCCTATTCTGTTTTTTGCAATTCAATAGCATCTTTATTGAAAAATGTTTAAAGAAATTAACTTTCCATGCACAGCAACATTCTTTTTTTTGAGAAAAAAGTATCATTTTTAAATGTGAGTAGAAATATATGTCATTAAAGAGGCAAGGGAAAATATTAAACCCGACATTTAAACTGGACATCACAACTTCCCATATCTATCCCTGCACTGTTAAATTGATTAATCAACACACAATGTTCATGTTATTTAACAGAGAACACCGTCATGACTGTCCGAAGGTACTCCATCAGCTCCAACCTGTCTGGTGTGACCATGACGGAGGGAAGGACTGACAGGGCACAGCCCAGTGACTCTGGATGGGAAAGACTACAAGGAGAAATCCAGCATGGTAATGGCATCTTTGGTAACTCGGCGATGGAAGAAGTGGGAAAAGCTACCAACAGACACTCCCTGCAGGAATATGTACACAAAAACAGGTAAGAAAAGCTATGTCCTGCACTTTTCATTTCAGGAATGTAGATTTTAAGCAAAATGCTTGAATGAAATGTGTTTTAAATTGGAGGTTTCTGAAGGTTCCCCCCATTAATGGTTAGTTCAAATCAAATGTACTTGAATCTATTTGTCTAACTATACAACGTATGCTACATTTCAGCTCCGTAGCCACATAACTATTGTGATTTTTCTTTTACCTTTCAGGGCCAAGGTAAAAACTGTCACATTTCTTCTCCCTGTGGATGACATTTACACAAACAGGCCAGTTCTAACCAAACAACAGGAGGAGCCTAAATTCACCGAGCTGGCTCCCATAACTGAGACAGATTCCTGAGGGAAGCAGAGCTTTTTAAGACTTTGGTTATGGAACAATGTGCACATGAACTGAGGTTAGCTTCTTCCTTTGGGTCAGTGTGGATTGGGCTCTTAATGATTGAGCCAGCAGACCGATTTTATCACACCTGACCACACAAACAGAAGACTCTGGTTACAGGTGTTGTTTTCATCTGGCCATTGCAATCCGGGCCGGGTTAACAGTGATGAGACACGGGGCCTCTCATCGGCGAGGATCATATGTCTGTACTGCTCTCCTGACCTGGGTGACCTTTCAGAGTGACACACCTGCAGGCTGCAGGTGACGGCTCATTTACGGACAGTTGTGGTCAGTGACTAAGGCTTTGTGAGCACCATCAGACTCATTAGTTATTCACCTTTGTTTATGTTTACAATGTAAACTGAGATGGGTTGTCAAGGGGCCACGTGTGTGTATAAACATGTGACCTCTTTCTTAGCCGTGATCCTCAAAACTGAATTTTGTTTTGGTACATGTAACATAGTATCTACTTTCATGTATGGAAAGCTCTTTGTAAATATATTGTATAGTTTGGCATTAACATGAACATTTAGGCTAAGGCACCGTCATAATACTATAAATGTTGACATGTGATATACGCAGTTCTATTGATTATTTTGGCACATTTATAATTCATTTATAGTTACCATTACAATATAAAATAAAACTGTAATCTGAAGTATTTTTAACTGGATGTACAACTACTTTTTGTGTCGTGCTCACAAGAAGTAAAGCAGTTTAAAGTGCCTTTTTACCTCTCCTTTGATAAACTGTAGAGTTCATATTTAAGCCACATAACTTAATAATGTTCACCTTCTGTGCTCGTAAAAAAATATTTGATAGTTTATCACAATATTTGGTATTAATAATAACATAGATCCACACGCAAAGCAAACGGCCTACATTAAGGTAATGTATTTGCTACAGCAAAAATGGTCAATCTTTACTTAAGAGAAACATTGACAATGCAGAGAATCGAATAATCTGATGTAATTCAAAGTGAGAATGATACCATCTACACAAAAGCTATTTTTCTATGACTGCTGCTCAAGAGCATTGGCATGAGCCAAATACGCTGCACCTTGGTTGATGAGTCTTCTATATTCAATCAGCCATTCCTCCTTTTTATAACCATCTCTATCTGCTTTGATTGGTTTCCATGGCACCCTTAACCAGCTTTTGTTTCACTGTCGCTTAGACAGCGTCCAACATGTTTTTAAAATTATAATAAATTTAAAAAAAAGGAACACTAGAAAGTGATGCAATAATTATTGGATTTACAGTTATGTCTTATTTTAAATGTTTTAAGTGGCCTACACTATCATTGCAGTGGTATTATTTTGTCTTCTAATGAATAACATAGGTTTGCTAGAAGGTATAAAGCTAAATGTAGTCTTGAAGAAAGTAATTCATCATAAAGGTTTTTGGTAAAAATCAGCAGAACATGTGTTTTAAAATCCTTATGATTTTATTATGGTCTGATGTGTACTGAAGTAATGATGGTGGTCCATGTTACCAGCATCAAAGGTAAAAAAAAGACAATTATGTCAAAGCAAAAGAGCCCAACAGGAGCACAGCAGGGTACAGGTTCAAGGAAACAAGGGATAACTGGAATATCTTGAATAAAAAGCAATGTGCTAAGGCTGTTTGCCAAAACAAAGCCAAAAACAACACAAAACAGTACTGTAGACATATGCAAACGTCAATACTTCATAACTCAGAGAAATACTATTTCCACTCAAAAATATGTACCCATGATTTTCCAAAAATATTAAAATCTTCTTGCATAATGTATAAATAATGAAAAACTAAAATCATAACATACAACATGTGTGTAAACACATAAAGAGAGACGGCAATAAAGTACATCAGTGTATGTTAGGTCCTTCAACACAGTAGGTCATTCACATACAGTAATATGGATTAAAGCATTTCATAACTTTCTTTACAACGCTAAAGGCTGCTGCACTATTTATGATGTGTAACCATTAAGCAACCCAGGAATCTTTTAACACCAATTATTTAAAAAATATATATTACTGATATCCCATTAGTGTAAATATATATTTCCAAGCCCCAAAACACTACAAGAAAAACGTAAAAAAAACTGTTTCCATCACTTTTAGGATAGTGCAGCTGTAACTATAACTAGTATGCCCTCTGCTGGTGAAGGAGGTAATTTAAAAAGAAAACGGATGTAGCCAAAATGTTTTTAGCAGACATGCTCCACCATGAACACAAATATAGTTTCTTCTGAGGTATTTGTAAAGAATTGTAAATTACAAGTTAAAGCCCCCTCTTTTATTTTTTGGGATAAAATACACTTTGGGTGGACTGGTATAAACATCCGTCTGGTTTAAAACCAGACTTTTTTGGATCTGTTGCATGTTGCTCAAACAGTAAAAAATATATTTTCCACAAGGGATCATAGGTCTTATGTTCATGAAGGGATATTCTTTAGTGATAATCTGTCAGGGACTGTGTGGATGGTAAAATAACGACCAAAGGTAGGTAGATAGCACTGACAGGATTAGTTTGGGGTTCTGTGTGTGCTCCGTCCTGCTGAGTGTCAGGTCCACAGGGAGGTCTGCAGAGCCCTCATGTCCCTCAGCAGCCTCAGGTTGCTCTGGCTCCTCTCCCCTGGTCTCACTGCAGCTGAGCGACCTCTGATGGAAACTGTGGTCGTCCCTCTCACCTCGTTCCCTCTCTTCTGCCTGGAGTTACCTTCTTTTCTTAACTTTTTTATCTAGAGGAGGGACGAGAAAAGGTCAAATATATATACATCTTAGTGCAATTAGTTTGCTTGTGGGAACTGAATTGTTTCTGCTTTAAGACCTACCTGTGTTTTGTGTTTGTAGAGTTGACCGATCTGCTCTCCTTTCCTCTCCATTTTCAGCAGCAGCCTCTCCTGCTCCCGCTGGAGTTCTTTTCTTTCCTCCGTAGAAACACTCGCCTCCACCTGCCTCATCAACTCCTCCTGCTCTCTGCGGCAAAAACAAATGATAACATTGAATACTATGCTCATCACTTCCTTAGAGCTCTCATATCACGCCTGGCTGGCAGAGAACTCACAACTCCATAGTTTGTCTTTTGTTAACTGGACTTATAACTTCACAATATGACAATATGACATATGACAAAACCTTTATTTATTCAGGTGAAAACCCATTGAGATCATTGACCTCTTTTTCAATGGTGACCTGCTGCAAGTAGGTTCCAACATGAATACAAACATGACAGAAAAACAAAGAGGACATCATATGGCATATTTACATTGACTACAGTTTGTATAGCTAGTAGCATTTACAGATACCAACAGTTTCCGATTGGATAGCATCTATCCTTGCTTTAAAAACATGTAATGGAACCAAGCTGCTCAACTTCCATTCCTTTTGCAGACTGTTCCAAATTAGCGGAGCTGCGCATCTAAAAGCTGTATTCCCTAAGACAGTCCTAGCAGTTGGCACATTTAATACAACCACAGCATTCGATCTCAGGCAGTAGCCATTTACAATACGCCGTGAGATCATGGAGCAGATGTAGGATGGAAGTTTCCCTAACATTGCTTTGTAAATAAAAAGATACCAGTGATTGAGCCGCCGTACAGTTAGTGAAAGCAAACCTGCCCTTGCATACAGGGTACAATGATGGGTTAATGCTTTACAGTTTGTCACAAATCTCAGTGCACTGTGATAGGCGGCATCTAACTTGATCAGGTAATTGGCCGGTGCATTCATATAAAACAGATCACCATAGTCCAGCACAGGTAAAAAGGTCACATCAAGGATCTCAATAGTAACCAATTGTAAAGAATACAGGCCAATCTACCTTGTCCAGGACTTCAAACGTCAGACGTGTTTTACTTTTATTTTTCGTAACTAACTAACTTCCAAACGGTCTTCCGTATGTAATTAAGTTCTTAAATCCGGTGATAAAACGTCCCTTACTGTCCTACTACAATTTTTCTATTATTTGTTTACGAATTTAGATTTCCCCGTCACTACTTATCTTTATTTAACATTAGATTAACAACCATAAAATACTAATGGCGGTGTTATTACTACATAACGCACACCAACTAATGTAGTCGCCTCTTTTAAGCCTCCGGACCTTTACTTTGAGGACCGTCCTCCTTCGGTGTCTCCTTCGACCAGGCTCCTGTTCCGGTTAGTCCCATTGTTCCAGAAGTAAACATTAAATAGAACTCGACGGTAATAATATTGTGGAAAAAATGTTAAAAGATACGGAGCGGAGAAAACAACATACGAGGAGTCGATGTCCTGTCCAAACCTCTGGTTGTCCTATGACGACGTCAGCCACAGTGGACAGCGAACAGAAGGTCAGTCAGTTTTCCATTTTTCAGGTGTAAGTTGTCCATTTTCTTGAATTTATCCTCCAAGGTTCCGAAAGCTTGACACAGGTGACTATTACAAAAAAAAGAGAGCAATAAACATTTACAAATTTGTTTACACTTTCCGCCAACTTTAGTTCACAAATAGATATAACACCGCAAATAATATAATATTTTCCCAACATAACTTAAGTTTGATCTTGTGTCTAAACCCACGTAAAAGATTCCTATAGGATAGCTAGTGTACAGAATTTTTACCATTTTTCCTTCCTTGTGATAAAAGAAACAAAAATAAAGTTATTTTGTAAAAATAAACTATATATAATAAACAAGTCTTGTGTTTTCAGACAACTTTAAATTTAGTCATTTACTAACTTATTAATCAAACTATATACATCACGATTATTTTGTTAGGTCTCGACGCACGTAATGAAATATGAGGGTTTACACGTGAAGAACACCTTGAATTATAAACAAATAACAGCTAAAAGAGAAAGGTCTTTAGAAAGTGGTGTCGTCAGCAGAAAGTGTCTCGGGTGTTAATCTTGGACTCGGAGTCCCTACAAGGAAAAACAACGACCTTGCCATGCCAACCCGTGTAATCGGACAAAACACCTATTTTCGCAACCAATGTTTACCTAAATAAGGTTACGACGAGAGGGGAGTGTGACCGAGAGAAGGAGGGTAGAGGAAAGTCAGCCGGCCGAACGTCGGTGAGCCAGGCTCGATTGCAGGTCAGGCAAAACAGAGAGCGACTTCGCCGTAGTCGGAAGTCGAGACGTTGTCGGCACAGGAGAGGTTGTCGGCACACTGCCCCTACCCTTCGTAAGTCTGTCGAGGAGGAGAAGGAGGAGACCGTCACCACTTCTCGACAGTCTCGAAGAAGTTCGTGACGTGCTCCTCGACGCTGAATACTCGCACACTCACTTGTATATTTCTATTATATGAAATAACTAAGGTTTTTAACCCTTTACAAAGTAAGGTCGTCGTACATTTTGTTCCGTAACGTGTATAATCTAGTTCAATTTCACCTGGATAGTACGATATAAACTTAAATTATATCACATCCTGGTATGGATATTATTCCGAATAAATGATGAAAAATAAAAAAAGTTTTATGGTTTGTCTAGTACCGTAAAATAGGTAAGAGTAAAGCGAGTTAAATTGTGACGGAAAAGGACGACGCCTAAAGACACCTCTTGTCGTGGTGACCTACCGGCTTTATACATGATGTCGCAGAGGTCGCGAAAGCTTGCCGTTACAGGCACCGACAGAGGCGAGGACTAACCACCTCAACCGGTTATCGGCATCGCGTTGAAGACACTGCTGTATTTTCACAAGTTTAGACCTAGTCAAGAACATAGTCTAGCAAACGTCGGGGAAAAAATCTCTAAACCAATACCTCCTTTTCACTCTCCCAACACAAAAGAACTGTGAACACTCCTGTGTATAAGTACATATTTTTCTGCATGTTTTCACGTAAAAACGTACTATCCGGGTGAAATTTCTCTTATCTTTTATTTTGTTAATATCTAAACTAGTCTTGTTTTCTATATGTTCAACTGTCACTTATATGTTTAGACATTTGATAGACTGTTTATTTGGTTATAACTTCCGGTTTAATGTCGATTGTGTCATATTATTAATCCTATAAATAAATGTAATTCCATTGGGAATTAATTCACTTTGGAAAAAGAAAAATTTCTATCGAACGTCTAAAATAACCGAGGTAGAGAATGAAGAGAAAATTGGAGAGGGAGTCGTGTTTATGTTAAAGGTTTTCATACCTTCAGAACGAATACAAGAACGGAAATGACTTTCCTTCCCCTCCGTTGATAAAATTTAATTTGATATCCGGTTAGAGGATTTAACAGTCAAGACCGATTTCACCGAGCTTGCTTGATCACTCACTCGTTCATTTCCTCAAAAATACCCATTTTACTATAGGACAGAGCTTGTAGTCCAGTCCGAAGTCTTTCTTTGTATCGTGGTAGTGACGCCTGTTACTTTCACCACTTCTGTAATGATCATAAGTCTATTATTTCCGTCTCAAACACGTCGAGATAAATAACTGGACAGGTTTCGCAAAACTGTGGCAACTTAGTAGCGTAGAAAATTTCGTCCTCCGATGAGTCAATAACCGTATAGGTCGGTACGTCACCCCCACCAAACACTTGATTGGAGAGACTTTCCAGGGTTACACAAGTAAAACTACCCGATAAGAAGACTCACCAATTTTGTAAAGATTACCACATGGTGGTTCCAAGACAAAATCCAGGTGAAAATAAAGGTATATATAGTTGTCCGAATCCAACTATTACAGCTTACTTCCGATGAAATTGTAAACTACGACTACTATGGCACTCACATAAACACGTCATGGAGAGGTAATTCCTCCGCCAACAAATTTAATCGTCCAGACAAAACTTGTGACAGTCGGAGTCGAGAGACTTGATTTCAAAGGAATTTACACCTATTTTGGGTTCCATTACGAGAAAAGTTTTCGATTTTTCTGTGGCTCGGACAAAATCTATAACATTGATGCGTTCCCTTTTTGAAAGATCACATACCTTCACCCCATCCATGCTGGACAATGTTTATGGAACCATAACTGACGAACTACTGACAGGAGAGAAAAATTTGTCACGTACAGTTATTTACGATTTTTTGTGACTCCCAATCCCGATCCAAAGAAATGTCTTTGTTCAGGACAAAGAGCTAACTCCGGTCCTTTC